TGTTGCGCACTGGATTTACGTGGCATTTATGTAAACAAGAGTTTTTTGCTGTCGATTTTGGTGAGTCCAGTTACTGTTTGTTATTTACTCAGCCATGTAACACAAATTAAAATGCAGTGTTTAATGTTACTGTATGAGTTCCAATATAAAATACAGTTGTACACCTCTCTTTGTGTGTCTTTATTATGACGTAACGACTAGTCGACTGCTATTTTGAAAAACGTGTCGACTAGTAAATATTGGTAGTTGTGAAACCCCTAGTGTGTGTGTGTGTGTGTGTGTGTGTGTGTGTGTGTGTGTGTGTGTGTGTGTGTGTACCAGAGAAATGGTGGTGGAAGCAGATCCTGGCCAGGAGGTGGTGGAAGGGCATGCTGATTCCTTCCAGTTTGACGGAGCTGCACTTCAGGTCGCCCGACTCAAGCAGCTTAGCGAACGCATCACTGGACGAATAAAACAAACTCAGTATTCAATTCATACTTGAGGAAGAGCCAAGACAACTCAGGAACCAATACCCAGATCTCTATTATAGTTGTGGCATTTTTTAATTATCTTCAGATGATAAATTGTGGTTGACGACCGACTGACTTTTCCTCTAGTGTCACAGTCAATCGTACATTTCAAATGTTTTGCATTTTAGGCTCTCAACAAGCACTGTCCTGAAGCCAAACGGCCAACACTGCCAACCCTTCAAGTTTACTTTAAAGACGGGTTTAAGGAGTCTATGAAGAATGCAAAAAATGGTGAGAATGAAGTTTTTCCTCCTTTATAATGTTGGTTGTAATTCTCTGTGACACTTAACAAACTAACCTGTAGCAGGGAGTAGTGATTAAGTAGGAGGTGCAGGTAAAGTGCAGTTTGAACTCCAGTTTCTCGTGAGTGGAGGAGTCCTCATTCTGTGGGAACAACAAGAACAGATCATCAATGAGAAAGCAACGTGGCACTTTAACAATTCTCTTCTGGCCTGAGGGGCCTGCAGAGAGCTCTGGGGGAAAGCGTTAGTTACCAAAATGAAACGTATAGCTGGTTAGGATCCCTTGAAGTACACAGCTTCTGTAAATTACGGCAAACTACTGCGTTGAAAATGCTTCTTAAAAATCTAACATATCAGAGCGTTAAAGAAAAAAAAGCACGGACAGTTTAACAACACTTTATAGAAGCTATGCTAAATATGCTACCAAAACAGATCATGTTTGTTTTCAGGAATACATATTTTTTATATTTTCCAGTGTATTTGTTCTTTCTTCACACCTTGACGATGAAGGTGAGGGTTCCCTTCAGTTTCTGTGGCATTACGATGCTCTGCATGGTGAAGACAAACCGCGCCTCGTTGGAAACCCCTGAATCACAGAGAAGAGTTCACGGATAAGTGATCAGACTTTACGAAACAACCCGAAGTGAGGTTTTTATTAGATTGAGGATCATTCAATTGAGAACCGACACAACTTTAGAGAACTACAGTGACCACAGTGACATGTTCTATGTGTATATTTTAGGGTACTGATTCCCAACCCTTTCAATGAAGTGGCCCCTTTATTATAAGTCAATGCATAACATTGACAGCACTAAACATTTGGTGAAACTGTACAATAAACCCAAATAGTGAACTCAATAACTGCAGGATAGTGCATTAACCAATGAGTTTTGAGCAAATTATGTAAATGTGAATATTGCATTAAAGATTAGCATTACTTTTATTTTAATGAAACCATTTAAAACATATTTTGGCCTGTGTTATTATCATTATTATTATCTGTATCTATCATTCAAATTTGAAAACTTTAAAAAGGTATCTTCACAGGAACAAATGAAGTCCTAAGATATATGCCAACTGTTTATTAAAAGTGTCGATACCTTTTAGAATCAACAACACCTCCCTAGGTTTGGAATCAGTGATTTAGTGAAACGAATGCTTCTTAGACCCTCCAGAAAAACGCGATTCTGCGATCGCAGAATTTACCGCATAATCAGCAAAATGGCGCAGATTTCTAAAAGGCCGCATAATCCCCGCATTTTTCCACACAAAGTTGAGAGAAAAAAAAAGTTAACTCTTCTTGACGTCATCAGCTCGCGCATCACAGAATGTAAACAACACTGTATAGAGTGAACGTGTGGAGCTCACACGATAGAGAAAACACCAAGATGAAAAAATCTAATCCATTTACCGACGAACATTTCTACTGAAGACCGGGCAAAAAGTGGGGGGAAACTATTCTGCACCCCGTGCAACTGTGTGTTGGAGCATAAGAGAAAATCGACGGTGACGACCCACTTTGATTCATTCAAACATTCGAAAATGCTTTCTGCTGCTGCGGACAAGAAAGCCAAACAACTCACGTTCACGAGGCATCAACCTCCAAAACCCTTTCGAGGGCTACAAGAAACGAAGTGAGTAGCCTACAAGATTGAAGCTGGTCAGATAACGAACGAGTAAATGAAAACGGAATGAGGCGGTGTGTGTGTGTGTGTGTGTGTGTGTGTGTGTGTGTGTGTATGAGATTAAAATAGCCCCATTGCTTTTACAATAAATAAACATTGAATGTGTTTAATTGAATAGTAAAGGGGTTTAACGTTAGTGGCAGGTTGTGTGTGAGAGAGAATAAATANAACAGACCAGAGAGATGGGAGGGGGACGGAGAATAAGGGGAGCTTTAGTAAATAGTAATTATATTGTGGTACCCCCATATTTATCTGCAGTTGTGCACAATACAGGCTAACCTAATAATTAATGTCAGCCAATAACAAAGCTGGCGAGCATTCAAATGTGTATGTGTTCATTTGAAATTCACCATTCAAATGAGCATGCTAACTATTCAGTACAGCCGTACTTAGTCTAAAGATCTTCAGTCATCGGCCCCTTACCGAAGTTGACCAAGTGTCTAAGAATCAGAATCGGATTATTGCCAGGTTCGTTTATACATACAAGTGTTAGTGTTTTTGGTGAAAACATAAACCATTATAAAATATTATTTAAAAGAAAATGATTATTTTGAAAATATTCAGCATTACGAACAAGGAATGAAGACAAGTTTTTACACCAAATATAAATATACCAATAGAACTAACTTAAAAAAGGAGTACAATGAATATATTATACAAACTGCAGTGTATTATATTATATTTAAGGTGGAGGTCTGTGCCGAAATGTGCAATTCCATATGAGCTTCAGTTCCGCTTTAAATGTTTCAGCTCGTACGAAATCACAGAATTATTACATTATTTTTAGAATTGTATTTAGCCTGGCATTGTGGCCCTCATAGTTAATTACTACTTGTGTAAAAAAACGACACCTTAGTTCCAGCTCAGGCTTTATAGCATGTGTCAAACCCAAGGCCCGGGGGCCAAATCAGGCCCTTGGTGGATTTAATTCGGCCCGCGGGATATTTTGAATTACTATATGATCTGGCCCGCGCGTATATTTCCGCAACCTTCACTCATCCTGAGGGTTTCCTCTGCTCAGAGCCTGAGCCAACAGAGTGAACTTGCCCCAAGATGAGATGCCAAGTATTGGCTTGAGGCTTAGCCATCACTAGTTTGTTTTCTTCTTTGAGGGAAATTGTTTTGTTGAAGCTGTTGTTGGCCTGTGGAAAAATGTAATCATAAGAAATGACTCCGGAAAAGCTGCAGATAGAGCCATAAGAAATGAATTTAACTGATTATTTAATGTTTAATGTTGTTTTTATAGACAATAATTTAAGCTTTGTTAGTTCCAGGTTTAATATGTGAAATAAGTTAATTTCAATAAGTTTTGCAATAAACATTGAACCAGTCCGGCCCTCGACTAGTACCCATTTTTTTTATTTTGGCCCACTGTGTATTTGAGTTTGACACCCCTGCTTTATAGAATGGTGCAGTGACGAGTCCTAAAACCCGCAAGTGAGTTAGCATTTTAACCACTTCCTGTTCCCTCGTCTCAAAGAGTCAATAGATTTCTCCATAGGATTTTGGAAAATAGCTGGAAATAAGGTCTGTGGTTGACAAACATTTAAGAGACGGATCATGTTTTCTTTTACGACATTAAATAAATCCGCAGTGACCCCACTGGTGATTTCTGAAGAGTTTACGTGTCTGAAAAACGATGGTTGTTACCAAGTGGCTGATTAGGACTACAGAAGTTGTCGAGGACGTTGTACGTCATTACGCCGAACACGTAAACACTCCTCTAAGTTTGTCTGCCCCTGGTCTGCTTGAAAGCAAGTTCCTGCCTCCTGCAAACTGTTAAAACAAACGCTTCAACTTGTACAATTTTGAATCGGTATTTTTGAATATCGATCTTAAGTTGGCTTGACGTTGAAGTCGTGCGACCCTGCTGTACTAGACTGTAGTTCGTTTATAGCATAACGTTAGCATTTTGCTTCTGGCGACTAGATTTATGATTCGAAAATTATAAAAGTAGGTTAAACATGTGGAGATTATCCGGCTGAAAAAAACGTGCATTTATCTAACAGGTTCGTTTTCCACAGACCTTATTTCGAGCTATTTTCCAAATTCCTATGGAGAAATCCCGTTGCTTTTTTGTCGAGGGAACGCATGCGCAGCTTACTTCCGGGTAAATACGTCACCCCTGCACCACTCTATAGTCATGTGCACAGTAGCTACAGTGTAGATATGGCAATGAAAAACGTCCTCCCCTTATTGTGCTCGTGTGTATTCGGTGTGTAACAGTGCATGTTTGCTGGTGTTTCTCTGGCAGGCCCCCAGCCACCCGTTCACAGACCTGCTGAACATGAACTCCAGCCCTGCAGCTGGAGCTAGTCTGTTAGTGGACGTCCTGTCAGACCTCTCCTCCCCCGCACCCACCCCCACCACCGGACCCGGACCCGGACCCACTGATGTGTGCGAGGAACACTTCTCCAGGTGAGATATATATTAATATGAAATTGTGATTTAGTATGAAACAGATTAATATAAGAAAATCCAAACTACAGATGCTGAGGTATCCTGCCACTATTCTCTAGTACTGGATATTGCATTTCCCATAATGCAACTGGATAGTTTATTTTATTGGACCCATTTCACCTGCTAAACTCTCACTCCCCTTGTATGTTTTTTTAATTTTTTTTTACCATAGATGGTACATATTTGATTTAATTGTATCAACATGTACATGCCTCTGTATTGATTATGTTAGTTTAGTCATCTTATCTTAGCCTTTTGTATCTGCAATGGCCCTGCTGAAACCATGTGCATTTTTACGGCTATTGGATCAATTAAGGATTTACGATTTATATGTACATATTTGAAAAGCCTGTCTGCATCTTTTACAATTAATCTGAAATATTCTGCTAGCGTTACATTTTGACACGAAGTAATAATAATTCATTGAATTTATTTTAGCACTTTTCCAAGTGCTCAAAGCGCTTTACATACATATTAAATATATTGGACATAGTAATTCATTGACTACTGTAGACAATACCCAAGGGAGCAATTTAGGGGGAGGTGTATTGCCCAAGGACACAAGGGCATGTTGACTGTGGTGGGGGTCAAGGTGAGATTGAACCTGTGCTTCCCTGCCCCCCCGATCTGATGATCAGCACACTAAACCTCCCCCTAACTAAGCATATGGGTTGACAAAGTGCAAACCATATGTTCTCTATGCTCTTTTTGGACCCTAACCCTTATAATCATGCTGTGCCTTTTTTAAATTCCAGGTTTGTTTGTAAGAACAACGGTGTTATCTTTGAGAACCAGCTGTTGCAGATCGGACTGAAGTCTGAGTACAGGCAGAACCTCGGTAAGTAGATACTAGTCAACAGTATTTATTTTGCATGAGTTCTGCATCTGTTCCTTTTTTTTCTAATCTCATCCGTTGGTAGCATTAGAGATGTAGAAAATAACATGTGAAATGGGATGAGTAATCATATGACTTTGAAATGTAGTGCATAGTGTAGATAGTTTACCTTCTATCCTCCCACAGGTCGCATTTACGTGTTCTACGGCAACAAGACATCTTCCCAGTTCCTCAGCTTCTCCTCATCAGTGACAAGCAGCGACACACTCAAGACTCATATCCTTCCACTGCTCCGACTTCTTCTTACAGACCTGAGTGTACTTAAAGGGATCGTTTGTGTGAGGTTGTTCATGGTTGGTGTATTAAAACCACTCAATGGTAGTTTCCCCACACTCAGTTTGGAGAAACAGACAGGATTTGTGACAGGAAGGCAAAGCAATATACTGCCCACTAGTGCTAAGACCTTGTTAACAAGTGTAAGCTATATTAAGAATATTTCACTGCTTTACCTTGCTGTCAGACAGCCCTTTCCGACGTGTAACTGATGCCGGTATATCCATCTATGCTCTCACCAATGCCACCAGACACAATCTGAAAAAAAACATGATGTTGTGATGCTGGTCAACTGCTGCCTCCACCATTCAGTTTGTTTGAGTTAATGCTTGCCTTTGGTTTGTTTGGATTCAACAAAGTCACAATCACACAAACAAGCTAACTGATGAAGACAGCACTATATCAGCAACTCCTGTGTACTGCTTTGTAGAATTGTATTTGTTTCTCAATGGAGTCTGATGGGTATGTTTGAGAGCATAGAAAACTCCCAGCTCCCTTTCGGAAATGTGGACTGTTTAGCTGTCACATGGCAAGCAGTGAAAGCATTCTCCATATAGCATACACTTACACAAAGATCTATTTGTCTTTCTTGGTAGGCCTTTCTTTTATGTTCCTAAAATATTTGTCCTGCTGCCCCTGACCACAGCGGTACATTAGTATTGGCCTCCATGTGATAACTCCCATCTGTTTCACCAAACTGGGGGTGTGCCAAGGGTAATTGACCTTACTTCATACAAAACATCCAAATGAAGTGTAAAATTGTCAAGGACTCTCTGCATACCACTCAAACTGTCAATAAAAACAATTCGAGATTCAAACAAAACAAAACCTACGATGTGAATGGGTGGTAAGCTTTTTTATGTTTGCCAGTGTCATTTAATTGCCTGTGGAGTCCTTGACCTTATCCCCACAGCTGAACGTCCACACTATGCCAGTGGACCCCACAGTGGAAGGGGGGGCTCAGCTCCAGCAGATCCTCAACATCGAGTGTTTGTCAGACTTCTCAGACACACCGGTCCTCAACGTCCAGTTCAGGTCGGTGTCTGAATCAAACTTTTGTTTCTCGTGTATCAGGTTCCTCTATGTGCTCATTCCCGACTCTGTGTGTGAACAGATACGGGGGAACTCTTCAGAACATCGCAGTGAAACTCCCTGTGATGCTCAACAAGTTTTTCCAGCCCACGGAGATGACATCAGAAGACTTCTTCCAGCGCTGGAAGCAGCTCGGAGTGTAAGGCTTGCTTTACATCATCAATGCACCACGGTCCCGTGCTTCCATAGCATTGGTCTATGACAGTGACCATCAACTGGCGGGCCACAACCGGCCCGCCAGACATTCTCATCCGGCCTGCACGGCAGGGGTGAATGTGGCGTTGGCGGAGTGGTTAGTGCGTTCACCCCCCACTCCGGTAATGTGCATTACCGGTAATGTGCATTATCGGTAATGTGCATTATCGGTAATGTGCATTATCGGTAATGTGCATTATCGGTAATGTGCATTACCGGAGTCCACCAGAGAGGCAGCAGCTGCGGGAAAGTAGACTGCGTACTGCGTAGCCTTCCCTGCCCTGAAGAAGAAGTGATCCTTCGTTAGCATGAAGAGTCAGCGTTATGCACTCCGCAGTACCCGAGCGTGCTCTCCCTCCCCGGTCATCAACTTCAACCGGTTTAAAATTCTGGGCTATATATTAAAATCGCTGGCCCGCAAAAGTGTCTATTGGATACATTTGGGCCCTTGGACAAATTTAGTTGATGATCCCTGGTCTATGAGCATGCAAGAGTTTACAGAAGAAAAAAAAAGGCCAAATGGATTTGATATTAAGCCAAACATTACACATTTTACCACTAGGTGGCAGACATTACTCTGCGGCTGCTCGGGACCTTTATCCTGCAGTGTTTACACATTTTTGTCCTCCCCCACCTCTAATTAAATCTGATCTCCTTCATGTTGTCGGCCTGTAAGACACTAGTGGCTATGTTAGTCCATTCATAAGCATATTATTTTAATCACGTTCTCATATTGCGATTACTAATGCAATAGGTAGGATTTAGTACTGACGACACACATTGCTTCTTTTACCTTCCATAAGCTAAATGTGTCAAATATATTTAGTTTTTTATCTCAAAGAAGCTATTTCAATATGTTAACTTTGGCTTCGAGAAATGAGATTTTCTTTTAAATGAATTATGGACCAAATAATGTATTAATTTACCAAAGAAATAATCTTTATATTGAGTAATACAAAGGTTCAGATGGCCGGTTTTATATTAGATGTTGTTCCAAGAGGATAAAAACATCTGGATTATCCAGGCCAAACATTGTGCAACACTCGGGTAGCTGGCCTTTTATTTTGAGCTGCTTCTGACTGTTCTCCTAAGTTTTAGGTTAAATTACCTGTACCTAATTCATATTAAAAGAATGCTTAATCCACAACATTATAATTGGTTCTCACCCACCATTAACTTGAATTTGTAAAGAAAATTATGAAAGTAAAGGATGAACAACCTTTAATTTTGTTGTAGAAATATTCCTTTAAATAAAGTTTTCACCCTTTTAATAAGTCATTATGCTGTCTCTTCCGTCTCCTCAGTCCTCAGCAAGAGGTCCAGACAATCTTCAAAGCCCAACACCCCATGGACACAGACGTTACCAACGCCAAGGTACAAAAAACTGCTTCACTGTACCTGAAACCACTGTGTGGGGGGGGTGTAGGACTCATCTTGAAATGCTGTAATGTGAGCGGTTTCACCACTCGAGAGACTCTGAACAGATCATTTAACGGTTCACTGAATTTATAGCAGCTACAGTAGTTTTGTAACCAGGTGAAAGTTTAAGCGACCTTCAGATGGTCTCGAGTGCCTTTTTTGATAATGTTCTGCAGTTAACCATCTGCACCAACATGGATGTTTTGTGACCATCTCTGTAACACTGGTTATCCGATAGGGTTGGTCAGCCAGGATATAAAAGTCAATCCACATCTTGAGTCATGGTCCATTAAGACCACATTGTAGTTGACTTCAGCTCAACTCTTTCTGCAATGTGATATGACGTAATCCAAGTGAGCCACTGCATTGACCAATCACAGACTTGCAAGCACACATTCCTGGTAGATCGCTTTCCAACATGAGCGCAGTATTTCTACTGTTTACCAAACAACTCGTTCATCTGGTACTCCAACCAGACTTGTATTATAAACTACCTCTGGTGTAGACTGGGATTTTAGCAGTGGCAAACCGTCAGGGCCTTCAAGGTATTCAGAGACTACCCTGGAACACTTGGATAAAACAAACAAAAAAATCGATTTAATTATATGAATAAATGAGAATCTGTGTTATTGATCTGTAATATTAGAGTGTTACGTTGATTTGTTTGTCCTTCTCGGACCATGCACAACGCATTTCAGTGGTTTTGTGTTAGAAAAGAAAGCAACCAATCAGATCTTGTTCTGGGTCTCTGGGTAGAATATCCTTCAACCAAGGTATTCTACATCCTTGATAGAATGCCCTGGCCGTTGCACATAATGAGAGCGTACGTTTGGACTGACAGTTTGATCAACCAATCATATATTGATTTGTAGGCAATGGGCGTATTCTTTCAGAGTTTCCCTCGGTTCCAGGGTACTCTAGAAGGCCCGCTAGTTAACTGGCTCGAGACAGAGGTTCAGATGAATGCGACGAAGCAATTCATGCCATTTTATTGTTTTTAATGTTGGAATGACAAGTGCAACAGGTGAAGATGAAGTTGTTGCGGAATTGTTGTGAGTACCCTTTTCAAGACGACAATTCAGTGAAAAAACGGACATTATAACGGCGGGGGGTGTGTGTCTACAGAAGGTCCAGTTGTGATAGACACGGTTCACCACTGGATTTTAGCCTTTGCAGACCATTTACTTGCACAATAACCTACACACTACAGGGAAGGGAACACTCCAAAAAGCAGAACAGGGCCTCTTTAAGACTACACTTACTGATGTTGGTGGTCCAAGGTGATGGTCAGCATCACAAAACACAATTCTAACTTTTTCTGACCACATAGTATTATCAATCAATCAATCAATGTTTATTTATATAGCCCAATATCACAAATGTTACATTTGTCTCAGTAGACTTCACAGTTTGTACAGAATATCAGTATGACAATACGACGACACCCTCTGTCCTTAGACCCTCACATCGTACAAGGAAAAACTTCCAGAGAAAACCCACAGTTTAAAGGGGAACATGGGAGAAACCTCAGGGAGAGCAACAGAGGAGGGATCCCTCTCCCAGGACGGACAGACGTGCAATAGATGTGTAAAATGAAAAGATATTACATTTACAACATAGGTAGTCCAAATGTTTGGATCGTATGATGAATACGATATGAATACTGGGCCGTTTTTGGGCAGACAGGGATGTAAACCC